AGGCCTCATCCAGAGCTACAGCAGGACCAGCCATGCAGTCCTGACGAGGAGCACAGAGCTATCCCAGGGCTGGCTGTCACCAAATCCCAGCGCAGAACAGCCCTGTCCCTGTGCCACCGGTACAGGATGGAGGCGAGCGGGGCCTTCCTTTGCCGTTCAGCAGCCCCAGGTGAGGAGTGAGGCAGTCTGGAACAGCCAAACACAACTTTTGCCAAGACTGTGCCCACCCAGTGCTGGGCTCGGGCTGGTATTTTAATAGTTCAAATTTGAATTATGAAGTTCTGTATAACTGGGACAGAAAGAAGCCATGACTGACTCTATCCACAGCATATTTTCCTTAACTCTAAACACCCGCTCCTAACAACTGATGTTTGACTCAGGAAGGAAATAACCTAAAGACAGTGATACAAACCATTTTAATCTGGCCAAAATGGTAACAAGGAGTGGAAACCAGGCCATAAGTATGAACTTTATCCTCTCCTAATGACCATTCAAAAAAAAAAAAAGATGCCAAGTCTTGGAGGAACCTCACCTGCAGGTACTCAGAGCTCACCTCCCCAGCAGTTCCAACAGCTGTATAGCAGGCAGGTCCCAGCTCAGAGCAGCCACCTATCTAATTAAGCTAATTAAGCAAGTGCCTAGATGCTGACAGGCTGAGGCAATGTCCTGCTCAGGCGAGCAGAGGTCAACTGGTTCATCTGGCCAAGGCCGCTCACCCTGCTGGGGACACAAGTCACAGAAAGCAAAGGGGCCAAACAAGCACCGGGCAAAGGACTCCTCCCCCTGCCCTCGGCACACAGGGGGCCCCCAGCGCCCCTCGTACCCACCCAACCCCCACAGTTCTCACGCTTTTTTTTCTTTAAATGCAAAAAACTCCCTCAGGATGCAAACCAGCCCAAGGAGACACAGGCCACATACAAAAAACCAGACACAGAAAGCCTTGCATTGCATGTCTACAGGAATCTACCAGGCGTGCGCACGGACAACCACACCGACACCGACACAGCAGCGACACCTCACCTGACCTAAACCACCCAAAGGCATTTTTTTGTTTCTTTTGTTCTTTTGTTACAGAAGGCCACTTTGAAGTAAAACAAAGAAAAGAGACAGGGAGCCCAACAGGTGCAGCAGCCCAGGCTGGCCCCGCTTGTGAGATAAGAAATTAAGAAATGCTCCTCCCTGGACTGCCAGAGAACAGGAGCCTCCACGAAGGGCTGTTCCCTCTGTCCAGCTCTGCTCAAGAAACCAAAACCTGACCATGCCACTGGCCAGGAGCCCAGTGGTGACACTGGAGCCTGTCTGGCCTTCAACACGCAGCACTCAGCCCCAGCACGGACAGACACACGGACACTCACCCCCACGGGTGTGCACAAAAAGGCCCGACAGCAGCAGTTTGGCTCCAGCCCTGACTGCCCCACACGAGAATTGGGTCACCAGCTGCCCCTCCCACCCTGTGCCCCCAGAGACACACAACCTGCTGCTCCTTGGATCCCACTCAAGTGACTGCAGAGAACATGGGAAATTGGGTCATTTCCCTTCCTAAGTTAAAATACACAGTTCTGGCTAATTTTTATTGGTGACGTCAGGAATACATTCCTGTATCTAAAGTGTCAGCACTAAGAGCTCTTTTCAAGAGCATTTTCAAGTAGCAGTTTGGGTTCATTCCCCTCTGCCTGCAGTTCCTTGGGATGGAAAGTGGCTTTGGCAGCCACGGGGCTCCCGCAGCGCCGCTCCCAGCTGGGGCAGCACGAGAGTTCCCCGTCACCTCAGTCACCTGAGGGGTTCTGCTCAACCTCCAACACACCCGACTGTGCCAGCTGAGCTCGAAGCACAGATCCAGTTTCTGAGCACATTTTGGCTGTCACCAGTGGGACACAAACCGTGGGGAGTGCGTGGGCTGCAAGGGCATCTGCCCCGGTGTCCACTGACCAACAGGCTCCAAGCCAGGCATGACAGAACAGAAAATCCTCTCAAACAACTATATAGAAAACCCACTTTCTATTGTTTCTGCAGTATGGTTACAAAAACCTAACATTATTCAACAACAGAAAAGATTTCTTCTAAACTTCGTATTTATTGATTTTTTTGGGGGGGACAAATTAGATATTCTGAATCCTCAAGTGTACATATATATTTATATATAGCTTTCTCCATAGGGAAAACATATATCAAAGGAGGAGAGACATTCTTTAAGTGCCCCTTGTCATACAGTACTGAACAGGACTTCTAAGAGCAACAGTGTAAATTTGAAGTTTCTGAGCAGGAATGTCAGAGGTGTGGAAAGAAGGATGGGCTGTGGCTGCTCTTCTTCACAGAGAACAGAAAGAAATTCGCGGACTTTAAAAAAAAAAAAAAAAAAAGAAAACTCCCAAAGAAATGTTTCTGGTAGCCCTGAAAATGGCATCTGAGAATGGGAGGACCCAAGACATCCAAAGCAGCTCAGGGGCTGACCAAGGGGGACAGGCTGTTCCTGAAGGGGATCGGACACACAGCATGGCACAAGGGGAGAGAAAAACTGGCCAAGATGCAGGACTGGGCTGGGCAGGGCAGGGCCACTCCTCCCTCTAAAGCATAATGGAGTAGAAGATGAGGTCAGCAGCACCCCCTGTCCCTACAGCACAGGCCATTCCATAACCCACCACAGAACTCATCTCCCTGGGGCTCTCAGCCCAACTCCTGCACTCAGCCCTGTTCCCAATCCTACTCCTCCTTCAATAAGGAGATTTTGTTGTTTTGTGATGTTAGAACAGTAAAAAAGGGCAGAAAGGCATGTCCTCCCACTCCCAACATCGCTTCAGAAGGCAAAGCCACGTGGTCCCTCCTGAGAAGGGAGATGACCCTGCTGCAAACACACAGTCTTGAGTTTCTGATGAGGAGCAACTGACCTGATACCCAACGCTCATCTTCCAACTGTTGGCACACAACAGCCTCCCTGGGAAAGCACCTGCATGGACAAGGGATGACCAAACCCTGGCAACTCCAGGAACCTCCCAGTGCTAATGGTGCACTGGAATGAGAACAAATCATCTGCTTAAATGTGGTTTCAGGATAAGAAATCCTTTAAGATTTGTCCATTCTGCAGGAGCTATGCTGGCAGCACAGCTAAGAGCTTCCTGGACTCAAGGGTGCAAGAAAAAAAATAAAACAAGAGGTAACTGTGGAGCAAGTGGAGCTTCACAGAGTTCATGCAATTCCCAGCCATATCTGCTCAGAAGGCACAATGACCCCTGACCTCTGCAGTCATTTCTCTTGCCTCCAGACCAGTTTCAACCAGGGACGGTATGGAACGGGCAGGTGTTCTCAGTTTAACCCCTGACACTTTTCACACCAGTCCTCAACAAGGCAAAAGTGCTGCTGGAGTCAACATGTCTTTGGGCAGACTATGGATCCTGTTTTCCTGGAGAGGCCTCACCCACACCCTGTGTGCAGCCAGGCAGCGCAGTGAGGTGTGAGCTCTCAGCCCTCCTTACCTACTCCCCTCCCAAAGCTCCTGGGCAGATGCTGGGACCAGCGTCCCATCCTGTGCCAAGGAAAACAGTCACAGGCTACAGCAGGAATTTTGCCTGCAGTAAGGACTGTGGAACACTTTTTTTAAAAAGAGGAAGACAGAATGGAGATCATTCACAGCAGTAACTACACACACGGTGCAAGGACCAGAATGTCCAGCCAGCAACAAAACACATCCTAAGCAGCCTCCCGGGCAGGTTGGCAGGTACCAGCAGAGCATTCCTCCTCTCCTGGCCCTGCAGGATTTGCCACTGACCTCAGAGAGGTCCTGCCCCTCTCACCAGGAAGGGGAAACAGGAGGGTCTCAAAGGACGAGGGTTCTTTGGTGCACGTCTCACTGCCAGGCACGAGCTCTCACACTGATCTCCTGCAGCAAACCCTTATCCTGCAAAACTAGAGACTGTTTACCTCCCAGAAAGGAACAAAGCTGCCAAAGCTGCCTGCGCTCTGGAGAGGAACCACATCCCCATTTATCCCTTTCTGAACCCGCTGACCCCCACAGCAAAGCATGGTCGGGTCAGAACAAACTAACAAACAACATTAACCCACGCAGCAAATCTACTACATTTCTCTTGGTCTTCTTGTCCCAGATTCCACCCATCAGGCCACAGAAACACTCAGCAAGCTGCCAGCACAAAAGTATCCGTCCCGAGAAACCCGGGGGGCTTGGGTTGGCAGGAGGGACCCTGACCAGGGCCGTGCACAGAGATCTGCAAAATCAATTACTGCATCAGCAAACCAAGCCAGACAAAAAGCAAAACCCCCCAAAACATCCAAACAAAGCATTGTCAACCATTAAAAAATAATAAAAAACAGGGTTTTCTTGACATAGCTATTAAAGTCAAGTCATTTATAAAAGGGCAACAAATGAAGACCGGTTGCGTATTCTTTTTCCTTTTATTAGACAGGACAGAGAATTTCCTTAAAATGCCATAACAAGTCACAGTGATTTTAGATGGTTTTTGAAATGTAATATATTGATGGGAAATACCTTTAAAATGGTTTGACTTGTGGTTTGTTATTGGGGTTTTTTTGTCACTAGAGATGCACCCTGGTCCACCAAACCATCTATCTTAAAGTTTCTTGTTTAGAGAGGACACTATCTTCTTCCTCCAAAAATGAATTTTGTCTCATGATCCTGCAAAATAATCAACCTTACAAAAGGCCTTCAAATGTTATATTTATATATATATGTATGTACATATATATACACACACATACACACATATATATAAATATAGACTTCTATGATTTTTTCCCCATTCTACGCAATGTCTCGATAAAGAGATCAGCAATTTTTATTCTACAAAGAAGCAACACATAAGAGGGCAAAATTAAAGTCTTAAGAACATCATATCCATAGTTCACTCATTACACATAAAAGGAAAAAAAATCACCATGAACAACTGTCTCTGAAGTTTCTCAGATCAGCAGATCCGAGCGCGGAGCAGCCCCGTCGCGGCGCGGGCGGCAGGCTGGGCACTGACAGCTGAGCGAGCCCCGCCCGGCCCCCGCTCGGCATCCTGCGCTCCCTCCTGCCCAGTCAGACGCGGTTGGAATGTACGGAGTTTCCTTAGGAAAGGTTCCCAACAAAGCCCTTGCCGTCTAGGCCAGCTTCAGCGTGCTCACCGGGAACGACGGCATGGTCACCATAGTCACCGGGTTTAGGACCGTCTGCCCCACCAGCTGCGGGTGATGCACCACCTGGGTTCCCACGGCCGGCTTGGCCATCACCGCCGGCTGGCCCAGGCTGGTGGTGCCGTTCACTTGCTGGTGTGAGATGGTGTGAGCGATGTGGCTCACCACGGGCTGGCTGACGGCCACGGGCTGGGGGTAGATGGGCAGCTGCGGGCCCAGGTGGGCCATGTGGTTGATGGTGGCCGGGTGCACAGTGATGTGGCCGATGGGCTGAGCAGCAGTGGTGAGTTGCACGGGGCTGGACGTGGAAGGTGCAATGTGAGCAATGTGCTTGGTCTGTGGACCCTGAATCACGTGGTTGACAGTCTGGATGACCGAGGCGTGGGTGGTGGCGGTGTGGGCGATAACAGTCGATTGCACGGTCGAGGCCGCCACGATGTGAGTCTGTGCGGGGACGATCGCCTGTGGCGGGACCAGTGCTTGTGTCTGGAGGGGGGGCTGGGCGTGGGGCTTCTGCTGGATGGAGAGGTGAGGGGGCAGGACCGCGGGCAGGGGGGGAGCAGCATTCGGGGGGACAGCTTTCAGCAGCTCTGGGTGCTGGCGCTGGGTAAGTTTTGGTAATGAGTTCACTGGCCTGTCATCTTCCATGTCTTCATCGATGTTGTCTTCACCCTCTGGAAAACACGAGAGGAAGAAACTCCCATAAAAAAGCAAGCAGAGCATGAACTGGACCAACAAGCCTCCCTAAAAGGCAGCACTGGCAGAAGAGACAAGAGCAGGAGGTGTCACTGGCTACAGGCTGGCGGCACAACGGCATGGCTTGGCACGGCACGGCCCTCTTCTCACTGCCTGTGGGCCAAGGACATGGAGCCAAGCAGGCATGACAGCCCAAAGCTCCAGCTAGAGCAGGGTGCTCCCAACAGGCCAAGAGGTCTCGCTGGGCAGGTAAGGGGGCTGCTGTGAGCAGAGGCTGACAGAAAGCACCTAGCTGACCTCTGTCTGGGCTGAAGTGGCTCCTTCTAGGAAGAGGAACAGGGTTTCTTTTCTTGGTGTTCCACTGATTGGCACCACCCTTTCTGCTCCCAGAGCAAGAAGGAAACAGCAGTGGAGAAGCATGGTAGCAAGTCCCTCATGCAGTTCTGGGAAATGGACTTTTGTCCAGTGCAGGAACTAAGGAAGCAAAGCAGAAACATGCTGGCCCTGCAGAGCCAGCACAAACACCCTGCACTGCCTGCTCTAGAGCCAGCCATGCAGCAGAGAATAAAAATCCCAGAAGATACAGAAGAAACAGGAACCAGGGAAGACACCTCCCCTTCACAAGCTCTGGTTTGCAGCAACTTGACGCGGTCACTTTCGGCAGAGGCCACTGCGGAGGGAACGGCCAACACTCCTAATGACAAAGCCCTGTTACTCCCGACTTCCATCAGCCTACACCTGGAGCCTGTCTGTACGTTCAGAGGTGATAATCCTGAAAACAAGCCTGAACAAACCAGAAACCTCAGATTTTCCCTTCCTGGAAGCTGTGGTATCATCTGCCTGGAGTGCCAAGAGCAAATGCTGGTTTGAAGGAGCTGCTGCGATCTGTTCTGCACCGCTACAGCCTCTGCGTCTCTACATCCACACACTGCCCACTCTTCCTGCTGCAGATCCCTGGTGTGGAGGAAAGCATGCACTCTCCTATCTCACAGGAACTTCTCACCGGGAATGGCACGTCAGATATCCATTAGTGTCATTTCATCTTCACTAGGAATCCTTCTCATGCAACATGAAGGCTCCTTAAGTTGTTTAAGTGCTCTGATGATCCTCCCTGTACCAAATCCTTCTTCTCTATGTGCTGAACACCCTCCCATATCCACACAAATACAGCAGGATGCCCAGTTCTAACCAGCAGGGCTGCAGAGCTGTGCAAGAAGAAATCTAAGTTTGGAAAACAGGGATTTATCTCCACGTGAGGAAGTGGCACGTTGGAAGTGCAAACCTGCACTTTGTATCCACCTGACATTGATGCACAAATTTCAGTTTACTTCACACGAGCAGCAACGCGTTTTTAACCAATATCAATCATTATCGACACTCAAAAGCCTTTTGCTTTATTCTCATGCAAAGAAACCCTGACACTGCCAAACGATGATCCCCACCACCCCAAGTAACTGTGTCAGTGACTTCCATGGTGATTACAAGGAGAGAAAAACTATGGATACCTGATGCTGTCGAGGTAGATGCCTGGTCATCCTCTGGCTGAACTGTCTGTCGAATAATTCTGTCAATCTCCAAGATGTCCATCCACTGGCTCAACTCGTTCTTCAGTTCTGCCAGTCGCTGCTGGGTAGCGATTTTCTCTCTCGCCAGCCGCTCCATCTCATGCTCATATTCTTTTTCCTTCCTCTTTAAAGTCTTAAAACAGCAGGAAGAAAAAGAAATATAATGTGAACAAAGACAAGAATAGTCCACCCTAACCTGGTCACTCCCATGTCCACAGCTAATTTTCTTATATTGCCAGCTACGCTGGTGTAAAATATGTTCAGCTACATTTACACCTGCCAAAGTCAGGCAGAAAGAGAAGGACAAGAGCTGGCACCTGAAGGGTTGCTCTGGTCAAATGCTTTCTGCCTGCTGAGGGAAAACTGATGAGCCTCAAAACCTGAAACACTTAGAAGGAAAGGAAAAGCACAAGCACTGATGAGCTTCTGAGCAACACACACCATAGCAAGAGCTCCTGACCTAGGAGAGATGATGAAGAGTCAACAACCTCCTGCATCACAGAGGAATCCTGAGGTCAGACATGAAGGAACTGTGTATGTTCTCCTTTCCTGCTTAATGCCCCCTCGGCACTGGGAACCATCCATCGTCAGGGGAGCTGCTCATCAGTCAGTGCAGGATAGAGAGGTGCCCCATGCTGCTGCTGGGAAATATAAATCACACAGACTGGAGGGGGACCAGCTACAGAGAGTGCAGCAGAAAGCAACAGCTCATCTTTACCCAAGTACATGCTGATGAGTTTAAGCCAGCGGCCAACACTGCACAGTCACAGAAACACGGCCCCCAGCCCCAGGCAGCACTTACTACTGCGTAAAACAGGCACAATAAGTGAAATCTGTAAAACCACATAGAGACTGTCCATTTTCTGAAGTTGTTTCACCCCTGGGAATTTAAATCCCACACACACTCCTGAAAATACCAGCCACACAGAGCCTGCACAGATGCTCCTGCTCCCTCACCGCTGGCAAGCACTGAGCTCAAAAGCAAACCCCACAGCTGGCAGAGGACCAGGCTCATGGTCTTCTGAACACGTGCTCTTTATTTCTCTCTAAGGTTCTCCAAGATAAGTGCAATCAGAACCTGACCTCATGCCTTTCAATGGTTCTGCTGATGCTGTAGATCAGAAGGGTTGCTGGGAAGGACTTTAAAGCCTGTTCAGCCAGGCCTTTAATGCAGCCTAAGCTGACACACAGACTAGGGCAGCTCCTACCGCTACCTTTGTCCTGGTAATAACAATAAAGGAAGTATTTTTAAAACAGCGAAACAAAGTGTGTTAGCAGGGCACAACTGCTGCAGGTGTGTCAGTGGAGACAGTTCCTCTGCCTCCCAGCCCAGCTGCCTTCAGCTCAGCTAAAAGCCCCTAAAACAGAGGGTTATCAGGCAAAGGGGGCAGTTCTCTCCCTCCCGCTGCCTTCCAAACCAAAGCAAGCAGCAGATGCCAACTCACACAGTTCTGTCCTGGGCAAGCCCACCACAGGAAGGGGGTCATAGGGATGGCAGGGAAGGGGGGACAGGGACTCCCAGCGTCCTGGCTCTCTCTGCACCAGCCCTGACATTCCCACATTGCTGAGGCCCAAATCCACAGACTAGTTTTAAAGTCTCTTTTCCTACCAAGTGCAGCCAAAGCATTTTGCCTGACCCAGAAAACAGTCGTGTGCTCTGATTCCCTGGGAAGGGGGTGTGAGTGGGACACAGAGCAATGAGGGAAGTGCACACTCCTGCTCAGGTTTGAATATGCAAGAAGATAACCTGTCTGAATGTCTTCCCCCTCACTACGTGATCAGGATAGAGACAAGCAGGAGAAAGGCTGAGGCTAAACCTGATGTGCAGACATGAGCCCAACCCCACTCTGCAGCATCTCCCAAGAGCTGCAGGGCACAGGAGGACAGAACAGGAACGGCTCTCCAGGAGGAGTGAGCACGAAATCCCTGCAGCCTCGGCGCCTGCATCGGGCACAGCACACGCATACCCAAGCAGATTAGATTTGGCTTCACTCCCCGCTGCGAGAGGAGACTCCCAGCACGAGGCAAAGCACAACTATGAGATAGGAGCAGGGCAGCCGGTAATTAGTTATAAACTTTTAATTACTGGGAAGGCAGGCAAACCCTTCGGAAGCACCAGGAGGAGTCTCCCAGCAAACAGAGCCAGGGAGCTCACTCTGTCGCTCTCCAGGCGCTCCACAGGCTTTGGGATGTGGCTCTGGTCCAAGGCCAGCCCTGTGGGCTCTGTCTCCAGCACAGGCAGCCCCAGCCCTGGAGCGGGCACAGCTCCCACCTGCCCTCGCTCCTCCCAGGGCTCCCGCTCGGCACTCACGGCTGGGCGCTCTCCAAGGGGAGCTGCCAGGGAAGCTGGAGGAGCAGATGGGCTGGAATCCCTGCTGGCACTGGTAATCTTTCAAAAACTATTCTGGGATGCAATTCACTGGGGCTCACTTGGTAAAGACGGATCTCCAGGCTGAGCTGCTCTGGCCTAATAATGAACTGGGTGTGATTAACCAGAGCCTTCCTGCCTCTGCTGCAGCTCCCTGTGGGTACCTGTGGATGCAGCTCCTTCCCAGGCTCCACAGGGATGGGTGTGTGCCCTGCACTGGGAGCGGGAATGGCCTCACTGCAGGAACAGGCACTCGCTGAGGGACAGGGAGCAGGGACCCCCCTGTCTCTGCATTTCTTCCCCCTGCAGCCAGTATGGAAGAGGATGGCTGAGTGTCTCCCATGTCCCCTCTGACCCGCAGCCCCAGGGACAGACGGCTCTCTGGCATCTCCCTGATGACAGATTATTTTCTGCAAATCATCCTGGCCACATCAGGTGCCAGGATTTCCCGTCAGTCAGTGAAGTCCACAGAGACAGCCAAATCTTTGCCATTGGGACTGTGGTCACCAACCTGCTGCTTGTCACCAACCTGTCACCAACAAACACCTTTAGAGACACCCACTGACCCCCAGGATGTTTTTTCTAAAACAGGGATTTCTGTCAGCACCATCACCATGGATCCTATGCAATACAAACACAATAGCTTTAAAATAAGAAGTAACCACACATCATTTCCCCAGACACAAGCCTTTGGGATTTTCCAACAGAAAGGGCAGGTAATATTAGTGCTGAAACGGGCAGAGGGGTCCCTGAAACTACAAAAAACACAATCACTGAAGAGTTACATTTTGATATAAGGAATTCTTACAAATGCCTGACCATCTGTCCTTCAAGGTGTGATATTTCATTAAGGCAGAGACACCTGGGACAGCTGCAGGGCAGGAGCTGCTGTCCAACCCCCCTCCACAGCCACCAGGAAGGGCCACAGTGAGGGTTCAGGTCGGGTGCTGGCACCTGGGATGACAGTTAAGCTGCCTGCTAAGATCCTGAAGGACACACGCTTAACCTGGCTCATGAAATACTGACCCAGTTTCTTCAGGGTAGAAAGGTCACCTAAGTTACCTGCCTTTCTGTTTCCCCACTTCCTTTGAGAGAGGCGAGGCCGGGCTGGTGTCCCCACCCTCTGCAGCGACTGCCTGCACTTGCCAAGGTGACACATCTGCCAGACTCTGCCTGCACAGGACCCACTCCTGCACTGCAAACCTCCCAGATCCCCTGGGCCCCCGTTCCTGCTGATGCCAACCAGCCCCTTGGTCTGCAGGAAGCAGCCATGTGAAACGCCGGCTGGTTGCCACAGGAACCAAAGCCATGGTTTCCATGGCAACTGCTTCATTCTGCCGGCTCTCCGAGCTGAGATCCCGCAGCAGTGCTGGATGTGCTGGCCCGGTACTGCTGACAGTGGGAAAATACAGGCTGGACACAACAGCAGCACCGCAGGGCGACGTCACCGTCACCATCACCATCACCACCCCGCTACAGTCACCACCCGCAGCCACACCCGCCTGCAGCCTCTGCTGCCCCACAGGGCCATGGCCCTGCTTTCCCCAGACACGAGGCAAAATCGTGATGGGCTCAGCCCAAAGGCCCGAGTCATTAAGGGACCACGCTCAGCATGGGGGGAACAGGGCGAGGGTCCTGCCATGACCGCTCCCCAGCGGACTAGGAGAGGGGAGGCACAGGCAAGGGCTCCAGGCTCCTGGTGTTCATGTCCTGGTTTCAGCCTCCCAAGATCTCAAACTCCACACCAGCACCAAAACCAAAACAAAGCCTGCAGGGTGGAACACAGACCCTCTCTCCCTGTCAGTACAACACCCACCAACCTGCAGCCATGGGTGTTTGCCAGCAGCCTCGTGACCCAGCCCCTCCACGTGCTCAGCCAGCGGCCAAGGACGGCAGAGGAGCAGCCCTGCTGTGTTCGGGAGGTGGGCAGAGGAGCAGCCCTGCTGTGTTCAGGAGGTGGGCAGAGGAGCAGTGCTGCTGTGTTTGGGAGGTGGGCAGAGGAGCAGCACTGCTGTGTTTGGGAGGTGGGCAGAGGAGCAGCACTGCTGTGTTCCAGGAGGTGGGCAGAGGAGCAGCATTGCTGTGTTCAGGAGGTGGGCAGAGGAGCAGCCCTGCTGTGTTCAGGAGGTGGGCAGAGGAGCAGCCCTGCTGTGTTCGGGAGGTGGGCAGAGGAGCAGCCCTGCTGTGTTCAGGAGGTGGGCAGAGGAGCAGCCCTGCTGTGTTCAGGAGGTGGGCAGAGGAGCAGCATTGCTGTGTTCCAGGAGGTGACCTCACCCTCTCGAAGGCACGGGGATTGCAGGACCATCACCTGCTGCTTCGTCCCAGGGCAGTGGGGCTGGACAGGGTGGGCACCACCCACCACTGCTCAACCTGGTGGCAAGGGCAGGGATGAAAATCTAGACAGAAATACCTCCCAGGAATAGGAAATCTGCCTGGAGCAGAGCAATCGCAGGAAATGAGAACACACGTTGGTATTTACATTTATCATTTCACACTGAGAAATGTGCTTCAGGCCCCTGATAAAAAAAGACATTGGGCCATAATCTGTGATCAAAACTAGGGCTGGAACGTGGCTGTTTGCACAGGGCTGGCAGAGCCCTGAAGCACCGTGCTCTGGACAAAGTACAAACAGTCACTGGGGTAGAGGGGAGGAAGAATCCAAACCAGGAAGATAAAGAATAAATTCAGAAAAAAACCACCACAACAACAACAACAAAAGGGCAGCAACCAACTGGAACACATGATACAACAAAGCAGGGAGAAGC